TGAGCGATCATAATAGAGAGAGAAGGAATAACTATTCTAAGGAAAATAAAAACGTAAACAAAGGTAATAACAAGCAAAAAGGGAGTTCTCAAAATTTTATAGAATGTTTTGAAAATATAGATCTTGAAGGCGATTTAGAGAAACTTTTTCATGTGAACGATGAAATTAAAAACTTTGGAAATAAAAATAATATAGATCCATTAACTGTCGGTTTAGTAGTTAACAAAGAGAAAATAAATTTTGAAATGGATACTGGTTCGCCTATCACTGCTATTTCAAAAGAAAAATTTAAAAATAGTACGCTAAATAATTTGAAACTTTTACCAACTAAAAGGTGTTTTAAATCGTATCAAGGAGATATTATGAAGCCTTTAGGAATGTTAAACGTAATAGTTGATTTTAAAAGTAAACAAGCTGAATTACCTTTGTTTGTGTTTAACGGTAATAGTAGCCCAATTGTGGGAAGGGATTGGATATGTGCATTAGGATTACTTAAATCAAATTCTTCTCCAGTATCTCAAATGATTAATTATTGTAAGGATGTAGTAATGGCAAGGGCTCAGTTACTTAAGGAATTTGCAAATGTTTTCTCAGGAAAACTTGGTTGTTATAATAAAAAGAAAATCAAACTAGAGTTAAAAGATAATGTTAAACCTGTATTTTGCAAGCCTAGACCATTACCGTATTCATTAAAAGAGAAGGTGGAGAAAGAATTAAAGAGATTGGTTGAAGAGAATCTTTTATTTCGAATAGATGATAGTGATTGGGCAACTCCTATTGTTCCTATTCTTAAGAAAAATGGTCTGGTCCGTATTTGTGGTGATTACAAAGTTACTTTGAATCCTAATATTGTCAAAAATAGGTATCCGATTCCTAGGGTACAAGATCTGTTTACTACCTTGAAAGAAGGCAAATTTTTTTCGAAAATCGACTTATCTCAAGCATATTTACAATTGGAGTTGGATGAGGATTCAAAAAAGTTAGTAGTCATTACAACACATATGGGTCTGTTTACATTTAATCGGTTATGTTTTGGTGTATCTCCTGCTCCTGGGTTGTTCCAGGGAGAGATGGAAAAAATTTTAAATGGTATTCCAGGAGTGGTATGCTTCTATGATGATATATTAATTTCTGGTGCTACTAGAGAAATTCATGATTCGAGATTAAAAAAGGTGTTATTGAAATTACAAGAGTGTGGATTAACGGCTGAGAGTAAGAAATGTCAATTTTTTGTTGAAGAAATAGAATTTTTAGGATATAAATTAAGTAAAGATGGAACTAGCATTTCTAAAGATAGAATTGATGCAATTTTAAGAATTGAAGATCCAAAGAATTTAACTGAATTAAGAGCTTTTTTAGGCGTCATGAATTATTATGCTAAATTCATTGAAAATTACGCTAAAATAGTTAGTCCATTATTTGAGTTACTTCAGAAAAATAAGTCATGGGAATGGAAAGTTAAGCAGAAGAAAGCATTTGTTGAAGCAAAGAATTGTTTAATTTCGCATAAAGTTTTAACTCATTATGATCCGTCTTTACCAATTAAAGTTACATGTGATGCCTCACCAAATGGTATTGGAGCTGTTTTAGCTCATATTTTAGATAAAAACACGGTAAAACCTATAGCTTATGCTTCTAGAGCATTGTCAAAAACCGAAAAAAAATATTCTCAAATTGATAGAGAAGCTTTGGCAATAATTTACGCGGTTAAATATTTTCATCAGTACTTGTATGGCCGACATTTTACACTCGAAACCGATCACAAACCGTTGATTCACATTTTTAGCTCAAAAAAGGGCATACCACAAATGGCAGCCAGTAGACTTCAAAGATGGTCTGTAATTTTATTAGGTTATGACTTTGAGATCAAACATATTAAGGGTATTGATAATAAAAATGCTGATTACTTGTCAAGATTGTATGATCAAAATAAGGTGAAAGGAGAAGAATTGCTTAGTGACGAATTAACAGGGAAAGAATGTGTGGAGGATGAATATACTTATTTAAATTACGTACTAGAAAATGCGATAACGATTGATGATAAACTGTTAATTCAAGAATCTAAATTAGATGAAGATCTGCGACAAGTATGCGATTATGTAAAATTTGGTTGGCCAGTTAAAATCGAAGAGAAATTAAAAGCATTTAAAAATCGAGAGTCTGAATTAGCTATTGAAAATGACTGTCTCATGTGGGGACATAGAATTGTTATTCCAAAGAATATGCGCAATTTAATTTTAAAAGAGTTGCATAACATACATATGGGTGTAGTTAAAATGAAGTCTATGGCGAGATCATACTTTTGGTGGCCAGGATTANAAAAATATTTAGTTTCAATCTCTATTAATAATGAGCGTAAAACTTTTTAATATGTTTAAATAATAATTAAAACTTTAAAATTGCATTTATTTCAGACAATTATAAATATTATCATTATATTATCAAGTAAAAACGAGATTTTCAGCTAATTTTTCATTTTTTCCTCGATAACCATTTAGTGAATTTTAATAACCTTACGCTAAAGTGATTCTCCAGAGTTCAAGTTACTTATTATAAAAGTTTGAAATTTCTGGTAGCTTTTTTTTGATCACTCTTCTTCTACCATTTCTCTACATTTCGTATCTCTCCTTATTATATAATCTGGCGTGTCTCTTTCTAGAGATAAAACCCATTTTATATGTCTTATAAATTTTTTATATCTGTTCATGTTTTCCACCTCCATATTTCAACGCCATAAAACATACTGCTTCTGATAACTGAATTAAATAACATCATCCTTCTTTTCCAATTATTTTTACATAACATTTGTCCTATCCCCAAAATTCTCCCTAAAATTTACCATTGCCTTTGTACATTGGTTCTCTATATGTATCTCATCCATATTATTGTACATGTACCCTAAATAATTATATTTTTGACTTTTCCCAATTTTTATCCGTTCCAAAATATGTCCCTAACTTCTCTTTTTTTCTTCTACCCTTTTTGTTTTTTTGCTATTCAACTCTAAGCCCTTTTTTCTAGCTACCTTTCTAGTACCTTTGCCATGTCCCTTATCATTTCGCAATTTATGGCTAGTAATATTATATCGTCTGCATAAGTTATTATCCATATATTTTTTCTGCCTATGACAATTCCTTCTTCTTTAATTCTTCCCATTGCTCCTTCTAAATCACTTAAGTATGTATTAAATGTCTGAACAGTTATCTTACATCCTTGTCTAGTTCCTTATCTACCCAAATTCTATTCAATTCTCTATCTTTTATCCTCACTATTCCTGACGTTCCTGTATAAATTTCCATTATTCTCTATGCTAGTCCTTTTTCTATTTTATTTATTAACATTTTCTGTATATCTTTTCTATCTAATGTGTCATATGCCATTTGTAAATCTACCAGCATTATGCAAACCTTCATTTTTCTTTTTAAGTATGTTTGAACTGCGTTTTTAACGTATAATTTGCATCAATTGTGCCTCTTCCTGTTCTAAAACCAAATTGTGTTTCACTCAATTTTTTTCATTTGTTCATTCTGTCGATTTTTTATTTTGTCAGTAAATTTTATATCCAGTGTCCACACTTCCTGATAATAAATAATTTTCAGTTGCAAGTGCATGAACCAGTTGATAAAACTTTAGTTTATTAAAATATTTAAATAATAAACGTAGACTACGATCATCTGAAATGAAAGAGCTTTCAGTTATTGAAATAATTTTCAAACTAAGTTCAGTAAACTTTGAAATTTCAATCTCAAGTATAACTAAGTAAACAAGTTTGCATTTTCTTTGTNTTTGAATAACCTTACGCTAAAGTGATTCTCCAGAGTTCAAGTTACTTATTATAAAAGTTTGAAATTTCTGGTAGCTTTTTTTTGATCACTCTTCTTCTACCATTTCTCTACATTTCGTATCTCTCCTTATTATATAATCTGGCGTGTCTCTTTCTAGAGATAAAACCCATTTTATATGTCTTATAAATTTTTTATATCTGTTCATGTTTTCCACCTCCATATTTCAACGCCATAAAACATACTGCTTCTGATAACTGAATTAAATAACATCATCCTTCTTTTCCAATTATTTTTACATAACATTTGTCCTATCCCCAAAATTCTCCCTAAAATTTACCATTGCCTTTGTACATTGGTTCTCTATATGTATCTCATCCATATTATTGTACATGTACCCTAAATAATTATATTTTTGACTTTTCCCAATTTTTATCCGTTCCAAAATATGTCCCTAACTTCTCTTTTTTTCTTCTACCCTTTTTGTTTTTTTGCTATTCAACTCTAAGCCCTTTTTTCTAGCTACCTTTCTAGTACCTTTGCCATGTCCCTTATCATTTCGCAATTTATGGCTAGTAATATTATATCGTCTGCATAAGTTATTATCCATATATTTTTTCTGCCTATGACAATTCCTTCTTCTTTAATTCTTCCCATTGCTCCTTCTAAATCACTTAAGTATGTATTAAATGTCTGAACAGTTATCTTACATCCTTGTCTAGTTCCTTATCTACCCAAATTCTATTCAATTCTCTATCTTTTATCCTCACTATTCCTGACGTTCCTGTATAAATTTCCATTATTCTCTATGCTAGTCCTTTTTCTATTTTATTTATTAACATTTTCTGTATATCTTTTCTATCTAATGTGTCATATGCCATTTGTAAATCTACCAGCATTATGCAAACCTTCATTTTTCTTTTTAAGTATGTTTGAACTGCGTTTTTAACGTATAATTTGCATCAATTGTGCCTCTTCCTGTTCTAAAACCAAATTGTGTTTCACTCAAAAAATTATTTTTTTTCATTTCATTTGTTCGTTCAGTCTATTTTTTATTATATCAGTATAAATTTTATATCCAGTGTCCGTTATAGTGGAACAAAAAACACTTCCTGACAATTAATAATTTTCAGTTGCAAGTGCATGGGCCAGTTTATAAAAATTTAGTTTACCTTTACTCTTACAATTAATTAATAATTTTATCTTAAAATTCTTGATAACTACGAGTTTTAGTTCAAAAACGGTCTGTACCACGATCGTCGATAGCGCCAGTAGGCTTTTAATTCTGCCTCTGCTGACCTTGTCCTTACATACGTAATAAACTGGAAAATTCCTCAGTTTTCTACTTTCGGGCGCTAACATGATTTCGTTTTCGTAAGGTCGCATAAACATTTCATTCGTTATAAGAAATGTTTATAAAAATATCATTTGTTGTTGCATATTAAGTTAAAATGTGTTACCTACCCGTGGATATAACCAATGTAGTATTTTGTGTAATGTGGAGCATTTCTACAAAGTACCCATTAATGAATTCAAACCACTGTCGGGTGAGTTCTTGTCATTTAGTCTTTGTTCGCAAAATTTTGGTGAATAGAATAAAATTTTGAAATATTTCTTTTTATAAGACACTTATTTCTAATTATTCTTAAACTATTTTGATGATTTCCAAGTAGTTCTGCTGCAATTTTGAGCATATTAATTCAGTGTATATGAAATATGCATTTCTGATCGATTAATTAAAAATCGCTTCTACAAATGTTTTCAAAATTACAATTATAGTTCATTTTGTACAGAAGAATGTTTATATTTTTAAATTTTTAGGTTTAAAAAGTCAATACAATTGTAACTGTTCACCGCTATTTTTCGCATTGTAACGATATATAAGGCAAGCTTATTAGTCACTCAAGCGGTAATACGGTCGCAGATCGTAGGTTGACTGCCTAGACGCTTAGTGAGGGTACCTATAGCAGAGCGTTATTAGGTGGAATAGGCCAAACGGGCGACTGTAAGTCCGGCAGTGTATTACCCCTGTATTTTCCACTGTTCGTGTCATCGGTTAATCGTCGAATTCGACTTCTCAGGTATCCTTCATCACGAAGAGTTCGTGGTGGAGCTGAGAGGCGGATTTCGGCGTTTAACGGGTGGCAGGAGGAATGTAAAATGCGGGTTTTTTGCACTTTTTCGCAGTAAAAATTCCAATTTTGCACTTCTTTGTCTTAAAAATTGATAACTTATAAAATAAAGTATTAGCTTTTGTTTACTGCATAAATTAAATGCATTTATAAATTGATAACTTGCGTGCAGATAGTTAACTTTATACATATATTGAAAATTATATCTGCAAATTTTTAATACTGAAGGGGGTTGAAATTTCTTTCTTTGTCTAGAAGCGGTACCCACCCAGGTGATAATTGCTTATTATTATTTATGTAAATATAATAAAGTGTCGTTTTCATTTAAAAATAGTTTGGGTTTTTAATGAGTGTATTTTTCTATTTTATTTTTCAAGTAAGCTGGTACATTTTCTACCTTTTATGTCCATGGTACTTTTAAATTTCCTCCTATTACACAACATCTCAAACGTTTCTAACCTTTTGTTTTCCATAGTGCTCACCATCCACATTTCACACCCTCTTTTGTTTTATTTCGGCAAACTAATTGCGGTTTGTATTAATGTCTTGGTGCAGTTCAAAGCAAATCGTAACGCTATTTTGTTTGCAGTTTGTGAACGGAAACAACAGTTTTATTAAACAACATCCCTTTATATCTTGCTGCTATTGCTTTACTTTCGTCCGCTTCACATCGGAAGCTGTAATGTACTTTATTTTCGCAATAAAATATTTTCTGTTTGGCACAAGAGTGCCAACTTAACTTACTAGTAATTTTAGAGCTTTTATTAGGCATAAAATTGAATTTTCTGAGACCCATTACTTACTAGAAATTATACGTAGATATTTTTGTTTTTGTTTAATAACAGGCTTATATTTTTGTAGTTTAAATATAATAAAGTTTTTCCGAGCACACTTCTGTCCTTTCTTTTCCGAATACTCGCTCTCTCTAACATCGAATGCTGGAACGGTCGGTAGGCCGAGAACAAAATATTTGTCTCGTTTTAATCAATCAAAATTTGTTTAAAAAAGTAGAGGCACTACATTTGGACAAGTAAAAATTAGAGTTTTCTTATATGGTAATATCATATGTACAATGAAAATGCAAACCTGTTTACTAAGTTATCCTTGAGAGGGAATTTTCACAGTTTACTGAACCTAGTTTGAAAATTATTTCATTGACTGAAAGCTCTACCATTTAAGATGATCGCAGATTATGTTTATTATTTAAATATTTTAATAAACTAAAGTTTATCCGAGCGCACTTCTGTCCTTTCTTTTCCGAATACTCGCTCTCTCTAACATCGAACGCTGCAACGGTCGGTAGGTCGAGAAGAAAATGTTTGTCTCCTTTAGATGTAAATATCAATCAAAATTTGTTTAAAAAAATAGAGGCACTACATTTGGACAAGTAAAAATTAGAGTTTTCTTATATGGTAATATCATATGTACAATGAAAATGCAAACCTGTTTACTAAGTTATCCTTGAGAGGGAATTTTCACAGTTTACTGAACCTAGTTTGAAAATTATTTCATTGACTGAAAGCTCTACCATTTAAGATGATCGCAGATTATGTTTATTATTTAAATATTTTAATAAACTAAAGTTTATCCGAGCGCACTTCTGTCTTTTCTTTTCCGAATACTCGCTCTCTCTATCATCGAATGCTGGACGGTTGGTAGATCGTGAACAAAATATTTCTTTCGTTTTGATATTGACAGCAGTAGAAATTAGTTTCAATTCAATATTTTTGGTCAAATCAAAATTATAGTTTTCTTATATGACAATATCATACAAAGAAAATGCAAACTTGTTTACTTAGTTATACTTGAGAGGGAAAGTTCAAGGTTTACTGAAATTAGTTTGAAAATTATTTCATTTATTGAAAGCTGTACCATTCTAGATTATCATAACTTATATTTATTATTTAAATACATTAATAAATTAAGGTTTTTCCGAGCGCACTTCTGTCCTTTCTTTTCCGAATACTCGCTCTCTCTAACATCGAATGCTGGAACGGTCGGTAGGTTGAGAACCAAATATTTCTTTCGTTTTGATGTAAACAGCAATAAAAATTAGTTTCAATAAATAAATACACTATTTTTGGTCAAATCAAAATTATAGTTTTCTTATAGGACAATATCATACAAAGAAAATGCAAACTTGTTTACTTAGTTATACTTGAGAGGGAAAGTTCAAGGTTTACTGAAATTAGTTTGAAAATTATTTCATTTATTGAAAGCTGTACCATTCTAGATTATCATAACTTATATTTATTATTTAAACATATTTATAAATTAAGATTTTTCCGAGCGAACTTTTGTCCTTTATTATCCGAATACTCGCTCTCTCTATCATCCAATGCTTGAACGGTTAGTTGGTCTAGAACAAAATATTTCTTTCGTTTTTATGTAAACACCAATAGAAATTAGCTTTAATAAAGTAATACACTCTTCCCTTTCTTTCATATCTTGCTTTATAGAACTCCTGAACATTTCCATCATATTACTGTCTAAATATTCTTTTTCCACCATTTTTTCTCTTTTTATTTCTCTATCCTCATTGTCTTCCTTTAAAACATACTTTTGCTTCGATCTATCATTACTATTTCTACTAATTTTATTCTACATACACCGATGTGAAATGCCTTTTATTTGTTTAAACAGTTCAAGTCTGGGATCTTTGTTTAAATTAAATTTTATTTGATATAAAGACATACTGCTAGTTTTCATATTAATTTATTTCACATAAGGGAAACTGTCATAGTTGAACATGATATCGTTTTATGGAGATTTTTAGTTGCACAATTATGACCTTAAATATAAAGTAATATTATATTAAATTACAAGTAAAGAATAACTATATTTAAATATAACTTAGGATAATAATATTATTTTTCCCCCAAACGTAATAAACAAAATCTAGCTAGATCTAATTAAATATTATAATATTGTATAACTTGTATTAATCTAAGCAATATTCCAACAGGAAATTTGGATAGTATGTGTAGTTGGACCTTGATTGTAATAATTTTGGTGTCACTCCAGAATGAAGCCACCCACTTCATGACCATTGAGCAGGACTACAACAACAGGTAACATATTCGTTTTATTCTATAAAACTTCATTCCTTTTGTGTACTTTATCGACACGTTAAATAAATCATATTTTTTTCAAATATTTCCTTTGTTGAGGTATCTTTTTTGTGCCTTTTCTTTATTTTTTTTTACTTTACCAAGGTTTTCTTTCTTTTTATTTACTGTAACTCTTAATTTCTCTTTATGTATCATTATGCATGTTTAATTTAATTTACTAACTGCAGAACTTTTTACAGGTCGTAAGGACTCTACCGTTAACTTCAGAACTCCTGCGGCACGTATAGGATGTCAGCTACCATGGGAGTCCACCAACGCCAGATAACAAACACCATCTTCGATGGAGTCCATCAACAAACAAAATGTAGAGTTTATAAACTTTATTTTTAACAATTTCTTTCTTTCTGTATACTGTATTGGCAAATTAAGCAGGCCTCATTTTCTTTAAATATTTCTTTTCTTTAGTTACCTTTTTGTGCTTTCCTTTTCTTTCTTTCTTTACTATAAGAAGGTTTTCTTTTCTTTTATTTACACTAATTCGTAATTCAGAACTTAGTTTCTCTTTTATTACTTATTATTATGTAATCTTTAAATTTATTTACTAATTGTAGAACTTTTTACAGCTTCTAAGGACTCTGAAGCTTACTTAAAGACTCCTGTGGCACATATAGGATGTCACCTATAATGGGAATCTATAACAGAGTCCATCAACACCAGATAATAAACACCACCCTTCGATGGAGTCAATCAAGAAGCAAAGTAGGATTTATTTAGTTTATTTTTTGAAACTTATTACTTTTTGTGTACTTTATTGACAAATTAAGTAGATTTATTAAAATATTTCCCTCCTTTAGTTATCTTTTTTGTGTTTTTCCTTTCTTTTTTTACTTTAAAAAAGTTTTCTTTGACTTTATTTAGATTACCTCTTAATTCAGAATTTAGTGTCCCATTAATTACTTATTATTAAGTAATTTTTAATTCATTTACTAATGCAAAACTTTTTACAGGTTGTAATGCCTCTCAAGGTTCCTTCAGGAATCCTGCAGCACGTATGGGATGTCAGCTATCGTGGGCATCTTTATTGGAATCCACCAACACCAGATAGCAAAGACCACTCTTCGATGGAGTCCATCAAAGAGCAAAATGTAGGGTTTATCTACTTTATTTTCTAAAACTTCTTGTGTGTTGTGTACTTTATTAACAAATTAAGTAGATTTTATTAAAATATTTGCTTCCTTTAGTTATCTTTATTGTGTTTTCTCTTTCTTTTTTTACTTTAAAAATTTTTCATAGACTTTCGGTAGATTAACTATTAATTCAGCATTTAGTGTCCCTTTTAGTACTTATTATTAAGTAATTTTTTAATTTATTTACTAATTGTAGAATTTTTACAGGTTGTAAGGCCTCTCAAGGTTACTTCAGGAATCCTGCAGCACGTATAGGATGTTAGCTATCGTGGGCATTTTTGTTGGAGTCCTCATCACCAGATAACAAAAGCCACCCTTCGATGTCCATCAATGAGCAAAATGTAGGGTTTATTTACTTTATTTTCTAAAACTTCTTTTGTATTGTGTACTTTATTGACAAATTAAGTAAATCTTTAGTTAACTTTTTAATGTTTTTCCTTTAACTTAACTTTAAAAAACTTTTTTTGACTTTATTCAGATTACCTCTTGATTCAGAAGTTAGTTACTTATTATTATGTAGCTTTTAATTATTATTATTTTATAAAACTTCTTTTGTTTTGTGTACTTTATTGACAAATTAACTAGATCTTATTAAAATATTTCCCTCATTTAGTTATCTTTTTTGTGCCTTTCCATTCTATTTTTACAGTAACAAGGTTTTCTTTCTTTTTATTTACATTAACTTTCAATTCAGACTTTAGTTTCTCTTTTATTACTTATTATTATGTAATATTTAAGTTTATTTACTAACTGCACAACTTTTTACAGATTGTAAGGATTCTGAAGTTTATTTTAAGACTCCTGCAGCATGTGTAGGATGTTAGCTGACGTGGAAATTCACCGATACCAGATTACGAACACCACCTTCGATGGGGTCCATCAACAAACAAAATGCAGGTTTTTATATATTGTATTTTTTAAAATTTCTTTCTTTTCGCATTATTTATTGAAAAATTGTGTATATCTTATTTTATATAAATATGTTTCCTTTCTTTAGTTTTCTTTTCTGTGCTTTTCCTTTTATTTCCTACTTGTTTTATTTACTTTAACTCCTAATTGAGAATATAATTTTCTTTACTTATTATAATGCAGTGTTTGATTTAATTTACTAATTGTGGAATATATTGCAGGTCATAGCACAGAATAGCACCAATACCAAATAACGAAGACGACCTTCGGTGAAGTCCAATAGCAAACAAAAGGTAAGATTTATTTACTTTATACTGAAATTCTTCTTTCTTTATATCTACTTTATTAATAACATTAATAATTATCACTTCATTTCTTTAAATGTATCCTTTATTTTGATTTTTTAAACCTTTTTCAGAACTTAATCTCTTTTTTTAGTTACCTTTGTGCTTTTCCATTCTTTTTATTTTCTTCTAACACTTTAATTAGAACTCAATTTTATTAACTTCCCATTAGGAAGTTATTGTAATTGGGTCGAAAAGTGAAATCGTATTTACTGTAACTCTTAATTTCTCTTTATGTATCATTATGCATGTTTAATTTAATTTACTAACTGCAGAACTTTTTACAGGTCGTAAGGACTCTACCGTTAACTTCAGAACTCCTGCGGCACGTATAGGATGTCAGCTACCATGGGAGTCCACCAACGCCAGATAACAAACACCATCTTCGATGGAGTCCATCAACAAACAAAATGTAGAGTTTATAAACTTTATTTTTAACAATTTCTTTCTTTCTGTATACTGTATTGGCAAATTAAGCAGGCCTCATTTTCTTTAAATATTTCTTTTCTTTAGTTACCTTTTTGTGCTTTCCTTTTCTTTCTTTCTTTACTATAAGAAGGTTTTCTTTTCTTTTATTTACACTAATTCGTAATTCAGAACTTAGTTTCTCTTTTATTACTTATTATTATGTAATCTTTAAATTTATTTACTAATTGTAGAACTTTTTACAGCTTCTAAGGACTCTGAAGCTTACTTAAAGACTCCTGTGGCACATATAGGATGTCACCTATAATGGGAATCTATAACAGAGTCCATCAACACCAGATAATAAACACCACCCTTCGATGGAGTCAATCAAGAAGCAAAGTAGGATTTATTTAGTTTATTTTTTGAAACTTATTACTTTTTGTGTACTTTATTGACAAATTAAGTAGATTTATTAAAATATTTCCCTCCTTTAGTTATCTTTTTTGTGTTTTTCCTTTCTTTTTTTACTTTAAAAAAGTTTTCTTTGACTTTATTTAGATTACCTCTTAATTCAGAATTTAGTGTCCCATTAATTACTTATTATTAAGTAATTTTTAATTCATTTACTAATGCAAAACTTTTTACAGGTTGTAATGCCTCTCAAGGTTCCTTCAGGAATCCTGCAGCACGTATGGGATGTCAGCTATCGTGGGCATCTTTATTGGAATCCACCAACACCAGATAGCAAAGACCACTCTTCGATGGAGTCCATCAAAGAGCAAAATGTAGGGTTTATCTACTTTATTTTCTAAAACTTCTTGTGTGTTGTGTACTTTATTAACAAATTAAGTAGATTTTATTAAAATATTTGCTTCCTTTAGTTATCTTTATTGTGTTTTCTCTTTCTTTTTTTACTTTAAAAATTTTTCATAGACTTTCGGTAGATTAACTATTAATTCAGCATTTAGTGTCCCTTTTAGTACTTATTATTAAGTAATTTTTTAATTTATTTACTAATTGTAGAATTTTTACAGGTTGTAAGGCCTCTCAAGGTTACTTCAGGAATCCTGCAGCACGTATA